TTGGCTCAGTAAAGTGTCCGGCTCTCATGCCGTGCAGAGGGCCGTGTTGTGTTCGGCGTGGCCAGGCCCTCGAGTCGACCACCACCACATCTGGCACAGACATCGCAGCAACTGTCGCAGCCCTCGCCGTGTCATGCCTCTCTTTCGCGCTGGTGCTCTTTTCACCTCCGCTATCGTGGTGGCGGCCGCCTGTCCCTCAAGAAACTCCCGGCAAGAGTCAGCTCCCTTTCGTACCCCTTCTTCGCCCCTGCTCGTCTCCATTGCCTGTTGCCGTGCGAGCGTTGAGGAAGCGGAGGGCTCATCACGTTAGAGCTGGCGTGGTGTGCCGACGGTTGAGCACGTGACGTTGCAACACTCCGCCGTTCAGCAGGAAGCCGCCGTTGCTGCTGCAGTTGCATCTTCTTGGTGGGCAGCTGCCGCACGTTCTTTGGCCCCTCGCCCCCGTGGAATGGTGCCGCGGCGGTAGAGAGCGTCGCGTCCGGCACCTGAAGAGCCCGCCACACACCACCACGGCCACGCCCTCTGCCTCTTCCACAGCGCCGGTGCAATCACCTCGACGAAGGGATTCTTGGGCGAGATGCGGTGGTTCATCAGCACCCTGCACATCCTCTTGAGGGAATAGTGCTGTGGCGGTTTGTGCTGCTTCGCGATGAGCAGCAGGAGGCGCAGACACGCAGGCAAGTCGTGGCGGGCGTCTAGAAGAACGTTCAAAACGTGCCCGAAACAGTTTGCAGGCATACAGAGGCCGCTGTCGCTGCTGTCGCGCTCCTGACGTGGACGGTGCGCGATCACGGGACACAGCCCCGGTAGCAAGCCTGTAGAAGCAGAACGCAGTTGTTTCTCCACCACTGGCGATGGTGCCGAGGCGTGCGTGGTCAGCGCCACTACCGGCTCCTTGTTGTTTCCAAACTGCTCTGACAGCACGCCGGCGATCCCCATGCTTCACGACAAAGATTGGCAGATAGAGGACACCTTGACGGTGCACCTGCTCTGCGGGAACCACTTGGCGTTCTCGGCTGTCAGGGACACCGTCGTGTCTGCTTCAATTTCTCTTGTTTTCGCGCCTTTATCTCAATTTCTTCTCCCTCTTTCCACTCCGTTTTCTCAGTCGCATCTTCTTTCCTTTTACAGTTATATGTAGCTGTTCTTCTCTTGTGTGGTCCCGTACATCTTGTTTTTCTTCCGCTTCCCTCCTCTTTGATCACAAATGCCTGCTATCAATTATCGTCACCTCCTTCTCTCTCCGTATCAAACACCTCACTTCAGATGTTTATTTTTCTTCTTAAGATTTCAAGTCTCGGAAGGTCAACCGTTCTGGTCTTCTCTCTTGCTAAATAGAGGAAGGCTGGCAACGTTACAACAGACCGTTCTTCTTTCAACCAATCAAGCGTTGCGTTTTGCAAAGCGGATCATAAAGACGGTAAAAAAGGCCCCTGGGTGTTCTTGCATCGACTCACATGCTGGCCAAAGAATGACCGTACTCCACCCTCTTCTTCTTGCTCTGTTCTTCAGAGGATGCAAAGCAGCGCTCAGACTGCGGCAGTGACAATCCACTACCAAGTAATATAGAAAGGAAAGAGCTGTGATACAACGGCGACGCTGCACTCGGCATGCTCGAGTCACTTCTGTCTGGTTTCCACCATTTTCTAACGCAATGCACTTCGATGCGCAGGAGTCCGCTTTTCCTTTCATCTACCATCCCCTTATGTGGCACCACACTTATCCCCCCTTAGGCAGCTCTCAGCAACTGGGACAATAATAACTCACAGTACCGGGAGAGCAGAGTTGCTCGATGATCGCATGGCTCTAATCCGCTGCTTGTTAACGTGGCAAAGAAAGGACACTGTTGCCGTTGTAGCACCGTGTCAATCGTGCTCAACAGCCGTTGTAGGTGACGGTGACAGCTCATCTGTGGATTCGAAGCGCTGCCTCACTTCATTCCCTTTCGACGAAGCACACGCATCGGTGGAAGTACCTGGGAACAGAAAGTGTTCAGCTATTATGCCGCTTGAGAAGCAGCACGGTCCGCTACGTCCTTCATCTGTGATCGAAGCACTCGTGAAGGCAGTTTGCTCTAAGGACCAAATGCACGTAAGACAAGACGAAAAGAGACAAAGATTGGACGAGAGAAGAGCGGGGAGACAGCATTGTGTAAAGAATGACGAGAAAGGTGACATTACCAGCAATTCAGCAGTACCAACCGCTGTCCCTTACACGCTGTAACGTTGCAGATGAAACGTCACTGCAGGGCACTATCTCCTTGCAATACAAACTTGCTGCGTTGCTTGCGCACTTGGGAGAGCCTCCCGTATGGCCTCCTTCCGCTGTTCCATCATGTTCAACACTCTCTGGGGGTGGTGTTATTATTGCCTTAGTTCAGACACCTTTCACGTACAATGGGCAAGAAATCAAAGGACAGATGAATTCGAGCGTGGGGTTTTGCGCAGCGGGCAGTACCAAAGAGACGCTCTTCTCCCTGTCGTTGCCCACCGACGCATACAAAAAGAAGAAGGGGATTGTTGCAATCAACCCGGAGTAATGGGACATTATGCGGTTTAGAAGCGACAGTTCGAAGGACCTGTACGCCCTGAAACGCCTCGAAGCCACGAAAGGAAAAAGAGGGGTACGGCATCGATCGAGCCAACACTTACAAAAAAAAAAGAGCTCAAAAGTAAATATGAGCCCGCAAAAAGAAGAGCATTATTATTGTTTTGGAGGCGCAGCCCGCCCATTTACGAGTGTCGCGACGGTGCTGAGTCAGCTCCGCTGCGCCACCGGGTACAAAAATAAAGAGTGGGAAAGCCGAGACTAGAAGCTCGACAAGTTTGACAGATACCGTTTTATACAGCAGTGGGAGAGTTAAAAGAGAAAGCCTCTGCGAACCGCGGTAACTACCCAGATTTATTCTTTCAATCGGCATAGTCCATGCAGTTGCGCTTTCAAAACACACCGTCGCGACAAAAGCCACAACTCTAGCTGCGAGGTACGCTGACAGCAAATACACAATCAAAAAAGGCTAAAAGAAGTATCACGCACACTCTGCACGTGTAGATGATGCAGGCAACACGCTTGAATGAAACTAGATGACAGGACAAGGAGTGGTTGGCCACAGATGCTGCTGGGAAACGCACCGGTGTGCAAAACGAACATGAAAAGGATCACCTGGAGATAATCTTTGCACCGGCCGTCGTGACCCAGCAAAGCGGTAGTTTTTGTCGTATCTTCACGGAGGAGTTGGTAAAATGAATGCCTCCAACCGTTGTACCCCGTAGGCCTTAACATTTCAAACGGATACATCCGGCAAGGCCAGGGATTCCTTTTAACTTGATGTCCGCATTCAGTTCGATCGTAGCAAGTCGCGGGCAGCGGTCGAGCCCCTCTACACTGCGCAGATTACAATGTAATGCATCGATTCGCCGAAGTGACCACGCACCAGCAAGGCCACCCAGCTCTTTCAATGCCAAGTTTTCGCGGATCTCGAGATCCGTAAGTTCGTGGCAGCTGCCGAGCCCGTCGATGCAGCGCAGTAGAGTACAATAGTTCGCTTTCATAACCCGAAGCCACGGTGCGCCCGCGAGGCCGCGAAGATTGTTTAAAAACACGTTGCGTGACACGTCAAGATTGATGAGGTGGGGGAAGTTGCCGAGGCCGTTTAAGTTCTTTATGTCACAATGCCTTGCGACTAGAGTTTTGAGACGTGGTGCGTCGGCGAGCTCCGAAACACTCTGCAGCTGACGATTTTCGGAGATGTCGAGCTCTTCGAGCATCGAACAGCTCACCAAATCTTTTACGGACCGTATTCCACAGTAAGTGACTGTCAGACGTTGAAGGTGCTGCGATCCCGCCAGCGCAGAGAGGTCAGACAGGTTTATAAAGAACGAAATGCGGATCTCGCTGATCGGCATCTTCGCTGCAACACGTAGCACGCGACTCAGGTCATCTGTAGCTCGAGACCCATAAGTACATCGAAAGCCGCTAATCCGCAGTTTGGTCAGACGTGGAAACGTCGAAAGCGCACAGAGAACTGTGCTGCACCGACCGTCGCACTCTGATGCGCTGTCTTGCGCACACACAACCTCTGAAAAGACGTAGACGATCAGCTCCTCCACACGGTCTCTATCACTCTCCGTTAGAAGTGCCAGTACGTCGCTGCGTGCGTTGGCGACAACGACACTCAGTGGCAGACCGCACCAATCCGCCCACCACAGTGACTGCGCAAACGTCGGAGGGGCTTGCCTGTTCCTCATCTCTGTGATTCCGTAGACCAGCTGGTTGTCGCTAACCACCACTGCGCCGTAGCTCTCATCAACGTAACGGTAGATCCTCAGCGTCTCCGCGTCCAGTCTCATCTGTGGACACACGGCACTCAGTGTGTGAATACTGCGAGTGATGGACTGTGGAGGCATGAAGCTCATTATCTGAGCAATGCCGTCCATTAGTAGCCGCCCCAGCGCTGTGCGAGCGTTACCAGTTGAATCGCAGGAGAGTGACGCATGAAAGTCTTCAATGTGACCCTTAAGCTGCATCTTCGCGAAATCAGTCGTTCCGTCTGTACGGTGTTTCTCGAGAGACCGCACCTGTTTGTGTGCGTGTTAGAGTTGAACTCGCCTACCAGGAGAAAACTGAGAACGAAAAAGAAGAGGGGCGGACAGAAGAGAGAAAACGACAGGTAAGAACACACCGCAAAGAGAAGCACCGCGCCACAGCCGTTCACTCGCACGCGAGGACGAGGCGTGTAACAAAGGGAGCACTGAAGAGGAGACACCCGAACGCAGATCATCAATTGCCCTTCGATGATTTCGCTCTCCGGCGCGGCTAAGCAAAACTCGACCCTACTGTACGAGTATCGTCTGTCAAGCTGTCTCAAACAAAGGCGCATTAAAACAGTTCAGTAGTCAATACGTTCACGTGCTGGCTGAAGCGTCAGCACTGTTTACAGCGAATGTTCTCTTTAAAAAACAAAATACAATCGTGATGAAGACCACAAACGAAAGAGAAAAACTATTACACGACAGAGGAAGAGGAAACTAGTGAGCTTCCATAACACAATTAGGAGGTGAGAGAGGTAGTGTTTGTGAACAGTTCGACAGACAGAACGGTAACTCCTCTTGCTATCAGCCCATTAATACCGCGTTTATGTATGCCTCCTACGGCTTTGGGGAGACCCTGAATTACTGTAATACAAACAAAGGTAGCCCCGCTACAAGTGAGGACTAGTGCTCGGCGTACCATTATGTACAATCGTATTCGCACCTCGCTTTGTGCCCTTGTGAACGAACGGAAAAGGGAAAAAAGAAAAATAACAGGTAACAGGTATCAGTGTATTCATGGATGACCTGTCGAACAGCATGCGAAAAAGGAAAGAGACAAAAAAATGAATGACTTTTGTTGTAACAACTGGAAAAACAAGAAAAGGAGAATAGACCTATGAAATCCTCAGTGTACATCGTTCAACTATTTCACATAAAGGAGTTAATAAACATCGCAGCTTCTTTCAGCCGCGCCTCACGGAGACCTAGCTGACAGTGCTGCGCACGAGGCGCGGTGTGCGGCGGTTTACGGTCGATGCGTCTCGCATGTGTCGTTTGCGAGGCAGTGCGCCAGCGCACGACCTTAGGCGTATACATCCTCACTGTCTGGCTGCGACGGCTGTGGAGCGCTATGCGCAGCGGCTGCGGTGGCCATCGATGCGGCGCGCAGCGGGTCATGCTCAAGCGAAGCAAGAGCGACGCAGGGAAGGCGGTCCTCACTTGTCGGGGCGTGGAAAACGCCTTAGGGGAAGAAGAGTGAATCCACCAACTCGCCGATCATCGGCAATCGCGCTTGTCACACATTCCCCTGCGGCGGTGGGGCGGATGCGCTGCGCATACTTGTATCCTCGAACGCTGACATCGCCTTGTTCCCCGCGGGCGCATCCACTTTCTGTATTTTCTCCTGCTTCACATCGCTCGGCGCTCCACGGCGAGCAGCTGACATGACGCTACTGACCCACATGGCCGCCATTCCTCTTTGCATGGCGTACAAGTTGGAGGGAGTCTCCCAATAAGACGCTGACTCCACTGCGAGCGGCAGTTCCGATGCGGTGGCGTGCAAGCTAGCGACCTCCGCCTCGAGCGAGTGCAACTGATTCAGCTCCTCCGCGGGTGCCTCTCGTGCCGCTGCTTCACGGCGGCGATGCTGAAGTGCATCGTCCATCTGTGCCCCGGCCTCGGCGAGTTGGGTCGAGTGCAGAACGTCCCTGTCGGTGCTGGCGTGCACTGTCGCGTTTTCACCGGCTTGGGCGACGCCGTGGCGCTCGCCGTCGGTCGCGTGCTGTGCGCATGGCAGCTGCGCTTCGGAAGCGTGCAGCGCAGACGGGGCCGCCGACTTGTTGCTCGCGCTGCTGACCTCTGCTTCGTGGGGCGCCTCCGGTGTTTCCTGTCCGGTGCTTGGGCTTGGAGAGAACACACATGCGACCCATGAAGCAGCCTTCTTACGACGCGCTTCACGCAGGTCAGCTCTCTCATCGGGACGCTCTTCAGCTTCCGCAGGAGGCTCCGTCGCGTAGTCCACAAGCCGCGGGAGCTCTGCCTCCATGGAGTGCAGCGCATCAGCCTCCTTCTCTTCCTCCGGGCTTGCCGGTGCCTCTTCCGCGTGCGATTGCAGCGCGGGCAGCTCGCTGTCGCGGGATTCAATGGCCTCGGAAACCAAAGCAGCGGCTTCCTCTCGGCGAGCACGACACAACGCCCCGTCGTCCACCGTATCCTTGCCAGCGCCAGCATCGTGGAGTGCATTGTCCACCTCCTCCGCCGCCACTTCCTCCTCGGCATGCGTCGCAACGGGAGGGGGACTGGACTGTTTAGTCGGCGACTCCGATGCGGTGGCGTGCAAGCTAGCGACCTCCGCCTCGAGCGAGTGCAACTGATTCAGCTCCTCCGCGGGTGCCTCTCGTGCCGCTGCTTCACGGCGGCGATGCTGAAGTGCATCGTCCATCTGTGCCCCGGCCTCGGCGAGTTGGGTCGAGTGCAGAACGTCCCTGTCGGTGCTGGCGTGCACTGTCGCGTTTTCACCGGCTTGGGCGACGCCGTGGCGCTCGCCGTCGGTCGCGTGCTGTGCGCATGGCAGCTGCGCTTCGGAAGCGTGCAGCGCAGACGGGGCCGCCGACTTGTTGCTCGCGCTGCTGACCTCTGCTTCGTGGGGCGCCTCCGGTGTTTCCTGTCCGGTGCTTGGGCTTGGAGAGAACACACATGCGACCCATGAAGCAGCCTTCTTACGACGCGCTTCACGCAGGTCAGCTCTCTCATCGGGACGCTCTTCAGCTTCCGCAGGAGGCTCCGTCGCGTAGTCCACAAGCCGCGGGAGCTCTGCCTCCATGGAGTGCAGCGCATCAGCCTCCTTCTCTTCCTCCGGGCTTGCCGGTGCCTCTTCCGCGTGCGATTGCAGCGCGGGCAGCTCGCTGTCGCGGGATTCAATGGCCTCGGAAACCAAAGCAGCGGCTTCCTCTCGGCGAGCACGACACAACGCCCCGTCGTCCACCGTATCCTTGCCAGCGCCAGCATCGTGGAGTGCATTGTCCACCTCCTCCGCCGCCACTTCCTCCTCGGCATGCGTCGCAACGGGAGGGGGACTGGACTGTTTAGTCGGCGACTCCGATGCGGTGGGATGCAGCGGACGCGACGATGGCATCGCCTCGGACGCCTGAAGGGCGTCGTCGACCAGGTATGAAACCTCCGCCTCGCCAGCGCGCTTTAGGTCGTCATCGCTGTGCTCCACCGTCTCAGAAGCGACCAAGTCAGCGTCACTGTGCTGGCTTCTGAGTGGGGTGTGCGGGGGCTCCTCTGACATCTCGCGCAGCACGGCCACCTCCTCTGCGGCGACTCCCTTCCGCGATGTGTCTGTCCCAATGTCCGCACACCACGCGTCGAGCAGCATAGCGGAGAGATCATGGCGCAGCCGTCGCAGCTTCGTTGCATCCGTGGGCACGGCACTATCACTAGGTGGGCCTTCTTCTACGGCACTCAGCGGGGGAGGTTGCTCCTCCTCCGCTGCGAGGTGCGGTAAGGACACGCTTGTACGGCCACCGTCGCGCCGCTCCTCAAAGCATGACTGCAGAACGCCATCCACCACGTGCGCTGACATGAGCTCGCGCTGAGGACGGATGTTGGGCACGGACGGCTTGACAGGCGTGGGTGCCTTCAGCTCGTCGATCAAGGGCCGCTCCGGAGAGGCGTCAGAGCGATTCACTTCACGTGGCTCTTCGACGCACTCGGCGTAGAGAGTCGGGGGGTGCGGCGCTGACTCCACCAGCCGCTCCTGCGCAAAGCGCCGGTTTAGTACATGCAGGCGGTGCCGGTGTTCCTCGAACTTGATCGCCGTCCGCTGCGACTCCTCCACGGCTGCCATGAAACGCTGCGCATCCGTGTCGTCGCGTCGCTTGGCGGAGTCGCGCGCGTCAAGAGGGACGAGGTGATGGTGGCGGCCGGTCCGTCGCTTACTGAGTTTCTGCGTTACATCCATAGGCGCCGACGGTGCGTAGACACGACGCAGCGTAGCAATGCTCGTCCATTCGTTGGTGAGAGGGGCGGCAGCTCGCTTGTCGGCCGCGCCGTACGTACGGATCGCATCGCGTGTGTGGGTGGAGGCGGTGGCACCGCCTAAGCGCGGTAGCGTTTGGTTATCACGGCGACCTTGCGACATTGCGCTTCAAAATGGAGACGAGGGTTCTACGGTGATGCTTCTCTGGGCAGGTCAGAGGAGATACAGGTGTGTGAAAATAAGGAGACATTACCGCCGTGCACCGTTGCGAATAATGAGAAAGAACGCGAGAGAGGTAGGATGGGTCACTCGCTAAGGCAGACGTCACAACTTACATTCTTTCGCGTGAAGGATCCACTCGTTGGAAAACGCTTCACTGATTCGCTCGTTGCTGTCCAAGCAAATGAACTCGTACAAGAGCAAAGCAATGCAGAACCATGGTAGCCTGCAACAACGCGCATGGAAGGCCTACAGTGCTGCTCTAAATGTCGCCGTTATTGAGACCGTGTACTTTTGGTCTTGGTGGATCTGCGAGCAGCTTGCACCCGTTTCAGTAATCGTTTTTTGCCCGTTTACGTTCGCCATCAGGTAATTGCACATGCCAGATAAATCCTTCCATACAGTTGATGTCTGCAACAATTCCAAAAGAACACTCCCCGTCAACACACTCACGTCTTGTGCATCGTCTACGCATTTCCTCTTCTTACAAGCAGCGCGCCTTGTTGATAACGTCGGAGCCTACCGGCACACGAACAAAGAAGAGAAAAGAATGATGTGCGAAGACGATGAAAGAGCGCAACAACGAAGATTGCCGGTGAGAAGGTAAAAAAAGAATGCAGCAAAGAGAATACATTTAAACGGAATACTCTCATCTCGGTGCAACCAATAAAACGCAGAGAGACATTGCAGTATTACACCTAAACAGACGCGAATGTGCAAAGGAAGAACTGCTGGCAAGTCAGCGCTGATGTATGGCATCGGGACGCGAAGTGCTTGGCGTGTAAGTAATAAAAACCGTGAACGAACGAAACATAATAGTAATAATAGTAATAATAATAATAATAATAAAGTCATGGTGCTTGTGTTCGCGATAGGGGAGCAAAGAAGAGTGACGTCCGTGAAGTGCGCAGAGTTGGGAGAGGTCGGAATGGAAGAGAACTCATACCCTTTCTTCCGTTGCTGCGACATCCGCTTCCTCCTCCTCTTACAAAATGCGCATACGCATCCGCCTCTACGCACTCATAGAAAACACATATAATCGGAGATCCCTCCATTTTCCATCCAACAACCGTCACCGCGAAGAAGAAACAAAAAGCGCAACGGTTCAACGCCCACGACTTCCCCTCAACCTCTCCGCTCGCCTCCAACACAGCCAAGGAGCAACGCGACATCGCCCCGCACAAAACCCACAAAAAGAGCGAGCAGACGCTATTCGGAAGCCTCGCGCGTGCTTCTCCTGAGACACCCCCAGAAATGCTCAACGCACGGAATCGTATGGGTACCAGCAGGAGTAACCACACGCATACTTACGTGGCCATTGGGTCGTGCCGTGATGATGCACCCGTCATGATCACGGTAAGCCAAAGCGGTCAACAGAGGGGACGAGACGTGCGCCGCGCCTCACCTTTGAGAATCATCCTTCTACCCATTATGCGCTGCGCTCCCGCTTGTGTGCTTTGAAGGCGCTCATCGGCAGGTAAGCATCATCGTGGATCTTGCGCGCCGCGAGGTCGTGCATGTGCTTCACGAGGTCACGGGCGATGGTGCCGCTGAGACGCGAGTCGTGCTGATAGTCGGGGTGCTCCATCACGAACATCCGCATGTACTGCGCTGCGGTAGGGATGCGTTTGGAAGCGCGCATGGACAGGAATTTCAGGTACGACTCGATCTGCGGCGACTGCATCTTTTCATCGTTCAGGAAGCGCCGCACCAAGGGGATAAGACCGTAAAAGCCGCCTTCCTTACCGTTGAAGATCTCATCGATGCTCATCTTGGCCGTTTCGGCGACGTCTGCGGTGGCGGTTTCGGCGAAGATGTCTCTGCGCATGACGTACTCGTGATCGCAAGGGTTGATGTGGTGAGCACGGCCCATGTTTTCGTCCACAGTGGAAATCTTTGTGTAGAACACCGGTTTGTACATGATGATAGCCTTGGTCAAAAGAGGAATGAAGACGGCGAAGGCGGAGTTCTCGAACGGGGTCGGTTGGATGTCCATCACACGGAACTCGACACGCCAGCCAATGTCACTGCCCATCGGCGGCGGCTTGAAGCGCACCGTCTGCCAGTTGGTTGACTGAATGTTTTCGAAGTGCTCCGTGTGCGTCGTGTCGTCGATGTCGATCATCTTGTCGTACAACACGAGGGGGTCGCGAATGAAGAGGTAGGCGATGTGCTGCGCCAGTCGGGAATCCACCCCCGCCTCCATCAGTACCTCGTAGTACGGATGATTAATCTCAATCTTCGAGTCATTGAACTCCTCCAGGTGGGGCGTGGTGTCGCTGAGGAAGACGGAGATGGAGTCGTAGCGAGACTTGAGGATGCGCGGGACCTCCTCGACGCGGCGGTCGTCCACGGCGGAGGCGATGGTCAGCCAGCGCACGTCCGAGTCGCACAGCAGCCCCTTCTGAAAAGGCGTTGCGGAACTAAGCGCGAGAAAGGCAGGGCACAGAATGGCTAGTTGGTCGTAGACGTGACGAGCCTCGTGTATGTTGTCGAGCTGCATGGTGACCTGCAGGCAGCTGTCGCCCATACCAAACGCCATGCAGTCCATGTAGATGCAGGGGTGACTCACCGAGGGTACCGGACACGGGCAAGCGTTGTAGCGCTCCTGCACGTGCTCGCGCTGCTGCGGGGTGAAGTACTGGGCGTAGTAGTAGAGCGTCGCCGGCGTGAACAGGTGCTTCAGCGCCTCCTTCGCCGGGTACTCCTTTTCGCGTGGGTCGATCGGGCTGGCGGAGATTGGCGTCGTCGTGTCGGAGCCAAATTTGCTCGTTTTCTTCTTTTTGTCGTCCTTCACGCCACAGTCGATGTCTTTGTTGCGCGGACTCTTGTCGATGTTGAGGCGGCGGTCCACGGTGCGCTCCATCGTGTACGTGTCCATGTACAGCGGGACCTGAATGCACACCTTGCGGCCGCGGCGCAGACGAATATTTGCAGTCAGATTCGCAAAGCGCGGGTGGCTGCGGTTGATGCACGCGTCCGGCACAAACAAAGACTGCGAGTAAGGCGAGCTCTTGTCTTCGGAATCCGCAAAGTCGCCCTGGCCCATCAGCGGGAAGGTGACGAAGGTGGTGCCCACCACGCCCGGCGGCGTCTCCTTGTCGATCAGATCGTAGCGGGCCTCGATGTTGTGCTCCACGGCGTCCAGACTCTCCAAGGTCAAATTGTAAGGTTCAGCCGGCGTGCTCTCGACCATGAAGCTGCCGTACTCGGGGTGCCAGATGGCGTTGTTGTCCGCTCGCGCCGACAGCCGCGCCATCACCTCAGCGCCCTCGAGGCAGAGAGTGACGGTGTTGTCGCGTACGTGAATCAACTGATGCTCGAGCTCCTCACCCCAGAAAAATGGCATCCCTTTGCAGTCCTTCTTACTTCTGTACACGTTGAGAAATTGCTGGATGCCGTGTGCGCTGACGTGCGGGATGGCCTTGGTGTTCGCGTCGGTGCCCCACCGCATCGGCTCACCGCCAGTCGTGAGGAGACCCATTGTTTCTTTGGGGTCCTACAGCAAGTGAACAAAAGCGATGACAACAAGAAAGATGATGTTTCAGATGGTAGCTTAAGAAACAAAGGGAAAGCGTTTGACGCGGGCGAACAGATATTCCTTCCGTTTCAATAATATAATAAAGGGTAAATAATGATAAAAAGTAGAACCACCAGCAATAATAATAATAATAGTAACCGTGGTAGTCCAACGGTCACACTGAAACACACGGAGAGAGCTCAGGGAAATACAAACGATCTTGGCTCTACGAAAGCGCAGGTGAATGAGATCGTGGTTGTAGCTTTTTCTTTGCCTTTAAATATGTATGCAGATGGCACGGTGAGGAGGGCGAAGGTAGAGAAAGAGGACAGCAATAATTAAATGTGGATGGGAGAGATGAAAATAGAAAATAATAATGACAGTAGTTGTGAAGTATATAGGAGTTGATGGAAGCGCTCCGACAAACGTAAGAACGCTGAGTGGAACTGCAACAAGATTTCAAAACACGGGAGGGGAAGGCGGTTCAGAAGAGACATCAGAGAGAGAGAGAGAGAAGATGCGCATCGTTGTCCACGGTACAGCTGGTATCTCTCTATTCAAATACTACTCCAGGCGTATTAAACATTATGCCGCCAAGAAGCACCTTCAGCGCAGGCACACATTTTGAGGTCGCATCACATCCACGGAGGCCTACTTGTGTAAATGGGGAAAAACAAAACATGCGGGACTTTGAATTTTCTTGAACACGTTGTGGATGGACCTCAACCACGGAAGAGCGGAAAAGCGCAAAACTCAAAGGAAAAAAGCGCGTTCAAGAAAAGCTCTGCATTAGTTTCTCGTAGGCGTCTTGGACCGCCTTGAACCGAGTCTCCGCCAGCTGTATCTCTGCTGGCGCGGCGCCGCACCAGCGGTCGGGGTGCCACTTCATGGCCATGGCGCGATACGACTTGCGCACCTCCGTCGCATCAGTTCCACTGGGGAGGGAGAGCGTTTGATAGTATACATCGAGTGACGGCGCCGTGTGCGACGGCTGCCGCGTTCTCCCACCTGGTGGCGGTGGTGGCGGCGGGGGGGACGAAGAGGACGGAGATCCCGACGGTCCCTGAGCGGCAGACGCGGGCGTCTGTTTTTGCTCTTGCGCACGGCGCTGCTTCAGCGTCCGCGCGTACGCCGCTGTCGAGGGATCCCGCAGCAGGCCGAGGCTCTCCTCTGCGTGGTCCACGGCATCTTGCCAGCGTCCCAATGCCTCCTCGCACCGCGCCACGAGAAGTAGTATGCGCGCACGCAAGTCTGGCTTCTCCGTGTAGGACAGCGCACGGTGGGCATCATCCAACGCCTCGTACCAGCCGTATCCCAATTGCACGCGGGCACGGGCGCGGTCGTGGTAGATCATTCCCTTCACGCCATCCGACACAAAAGGCTCCTGCAGGACTTCGCTTGCGCAGGCCACCACGTCAGCCCACCTCTTCGTCTGCGCGAGACTGGTGAGCCTGTTCACGGCATCGCGGCAGCGAGCAACGTGCGTCTGCAGGAGGCGGAAACGCAGTTCCGTTGTGCCCACAGCGGCGTGTTGCATCTCAGCAAGAAGGCTGTCGAGGTCTGCCGCGGACGTCGCCACATGGAAGATGAGCTCCCAGGCAGCGAGATGCATTTCGGTAGAGTAAGGGTACAGGCGCGCTCGTTCGTGGGCGTAGTGGCTTGCGGCTCCTGCGTTATCCAGTGACAGAAGCCGCGCCTTGGTGGCCTCGAGAGTTCCGCACGGAAACAGAGCCAATAGAGTCTCTAAGCTTTCTCGCGCCCGCGCGTACTGATGGGCGGCGTAGCAGCTGCTGTAAGTGCCGTACGCCTTCGTCGCTGCCACCTCGTCCCGCCACTCCGGTGCCTCTTTGTGTGTCGCCACAAGCCGCTGTGCCTTTTCCACGTTGCCTTGACAAATGTAGACGCGTGCGAGTCGCTGCTGGCTTGGATAGACGCGCGCCGTGTCCGTTGACAGCACTCGCAGTGTCGCGGACTCGCACAGCTCCCACTGCTCCAGTTTAAAGTAGCACACGGCGATGTTGTGCAGCACGGAGGGGGTGAGTTCGTGCGACATGCACATCGACGACGCGTGGAGCAGCTGGTCCAAGGCGGCCTTGTAGTGAGCGCTGCGGAAGGCGGCGGCCGCTTCGCGTATCTCGGCCTGCTGCACGGCCGACTGCGAGGCGTCCCTCCGTGTATCGAACTCATCTACGCGGAACCGCAAGGAAGTCGGGTTCGTGGTGCTCGTCGCGTCTTCTGACGTTGCTGCGGTGGATAAAAGAGAGGGTGCCGGAAGGGCTTTTGTGGTGCTCGCCTTGAGGCCGTCGGTCAGCACGTCGAGTGCCTCTGCCAGTGCGAAGAAGTCGTGGGTGTCCATCAGCCGCTTTGGGCCGCGGCGTGCATTGGTGTGGGTGTTCACCCGCGCAGCAGACGGAGGGAGCGGTACGTCCTCGTCCACCGCACCGTCAGTGCACGCGTTACTGGCAGCGTCCCATTCGTTGAGTACGGCGGGGCTGAGCGTGACGTGCGGATCCAGCAGCATCTGCGTGGCGAACGGAAGTTTGCGAAACTGCATTACAGAGGGGCGGCTATTTCACTTCGTATCGTGCGCGTGTCTTAAGCTGGACGTGGGTGTTCGTCTGGGTGTGATAGATGCGGTGCACAACGGCCATGTGTGATGACGCGTGTGTCGATGCATGCATGCAAAAACAGCGTCCAGTAAGAAAAAAGATAAAATAAAAAAGGGAGCTTCGCCGTAAAGGAATTTGTATTGCGCACGTCCATCGAAGTAGCACCCGGGTCTTTACTGATAATATCACGAAACGAAATTGTGGTTCCCAGCTGCCCCATCAGCACAGATTGCTGAGGCTGCGTGGCGATGCGTTGTGCACCTGTCCTCATTGTCATTCACCCGTTGGTGTGCTTCGCTCACCACTTCGCACTCCACCTCGCTGCGCCACAAAAAGCCTCGCGTGAAGTCGTACATCAACATCAATGTGACGGAGGAGCACACATTTTTTCTTCGCGTTAGCATTTCCAGCGCCGTTCGGCTTTGAAAGACATGTTAGTAGAAAGGGAAAAACAGAAAAACAAACGTCGGGTCCGTGCGAAACGGTGAGTTGCCGCTGCCTCACGGGTTTACGAAGGACAAGTTCCGCATCCTCTCCTATTGATGCTATGTACATTATGAAAAAATAATATCTTCTTTTGTCGGGTGGCAACGACCACAAACGTGGAGATGCTCGGCAACACACGCACCAATATACATATATATACACCTACACATATATATATATATATATCTGTCGCAGCACGCTGTTAATGAACACCACGCACAAAGAAGAACTTGTAGGTCGTCTTATCGGTGTCGTGGTTCATGGTAGTGCTTCCTCGCAGTTTCCAGGTGCCCTCCTCCTCCAGTGCGTCCAACATGGAGACGAACAGCACGGAGGTGCCGATGTCCTCGGTGGCAAACTGCGTGCGCAGCTCACCGTGCCAGTGCGGCGGGTCCTCCTTGCGCACCAGTGCAAATGGCAGCTTGCCAGTGTTGGTGGTGGAGCAGGAGTTGGGGATGGTCTCGTTGAGCCGGTCGATCGTGCTCTCCTTGATGGGGCCAAAAATGGAGATCACCGGCGGGTTGCACGTGACGTTTACGATTAGGTTCATCTCGGACATTTTCGTCGAAGGCGGGAGGATAAATCGAAAGAGGGGTCGTTGGCTGTGTAGAGGGGGAGAGAAACCGGAAAGCGTTTCGTCTGCAAGAACAGTAATTGTTCACGCTACGGCCGAGTAGAAGAGCTGACTCGGTAAGCAAACAAAAAATAATGCGAACGTGCCGTCTGTTTCGAGATGCATCTTTTATGAGGAGAACACACACACACACACACGCCGTGGTAAGCCGGCAAGCGTAACACGCAGAGAGAGAGAGGTCATGAAGGGGGAGGAAGCCGGATGGAGGGAAATGGTTAGTCAAAGAGAACAGAAACGCATTTGAACATTGTGCATTGGATGCATCGCTTTACCGGCCGCTTTACCAACGAGGCTTTTCTTTCCTTCTCTTTCCCCACATTTCGCCAGCAGTCAGCTGCACGAATAGTCGCTGGATTATTTCGCAGTCTGCGGAATAAGCGCGTCTACTTCACGCCGCCTTCTCCTCTCGATAGACGTACTTACGAGTGCCGAAGTCTATCCGGCTCTGTACATCGAACGCATCATCACAACACGCGACGCAACATCAAAAACGGCCGTATGCAACCGTCCGTCTTCGTCATCCATCTCCTTCAAAAAGCAGTGTAAAGCGGCGAGTACACCCGCCACAAATCGAGGTGAGGGAAGTGGGCGCTTTGCTTCCACCTCACAACCCGCTCAAGGGATCGTTGTCTTCCTTGGCCTTCTCAGCTGCTTCCTGCTGGCGACGCGCTTCAATTTCGCGCATGGTAGCAGCATTGATTTCTTCCTGCGTAGGAGCCACGTAGGTGCCCTGAATGCGCGCCGCCAGCTCCTTCGCCGGGCAGCTCTCCGGCAATACCGTCACAAGCACTTTCACCTCCGCCGGCGTGAGGACGTTGTCGCCCTGCGTCGTTACAATTTCTATCAGCCGGTCACGCGTCATGACGGCAGCGGAGCTGCCAACGAACACCTTCAGTGCCTCGACCACGGCGCTCTCCTCGCGCATGCGATCGCGGAAGACCATCTCCGCGCAGTGGATAAAGATGTTCCAATCGATGTTTTTTATCTCTTCCGCGGGTGTAGGAAGGGGCGGCACGGCTTCGTTAACGCCGCCTTCCCCAACTTTTTCCGCAATCGACTTTTTGGCTGCTGCGACGCTCATGCGGCCTTTGCCTTTGCGCTCACGTGCCTCTTCCTTTCGCCGCTCCTTGTCTCGCCGGAGCTCGTCCTCGCGACGCCACTGCTCCAGCCGTACAATCGGCTCGGCCATGAGCTTTTTGAGTTTGTCCATGTCGTCTTGGGTCGGATTCATTCCCATGCTACGCAGAAGCGTGGTGCAGTCCAGGAAGGAAATCAGCTTCTCTTTGTTCTGCAGCATCGCAAAAGAGACTTCGGCATTGTTGTAGACGTCGCTGGTGAGCACCGAAGGCGCATCGGGGTCCAATGTTGACGTCATGGCGGTGAGTACGGCACAATGGCGAATTGAAAAGTGCGAGGGTGCCTTCTAGTTCTACTTTCTTCTTCTCGATCCGTGTCTTTCTTTGCGACCTTGTTGAGGCTCACTTTGGGAGAGATTTGCGATGCACATTTCAGGATTGTTTTGCAGTGAAGAGATGGGGATTGAAAGCACGAGAGGTTTAAAAGGCATTCAACAAGAAAAAAACAGTTAGCGAGTAGCTGCATACCTCTCTGACAGTCGTGAACAAAACAAAGGCAGGCATACAAAGCACCGATCAAATAGCCGAGCCGTTTTACAGAGGTTGCGGTATGAACAGTTTTGGGAGGCGTCCCGACGGGCAAAGCAGCGTCGAGCTGTGAAGGCTGAGGATCGGACACGGGGAGAGAAGGAGCGACACAACGATCGGCATTTTTCCCTTGAAAGCCCAAAACGAGCCTCCCAACTCTCCCTCTCTTTCACGCTGCGTACTTCACTTTTCCGCAGCGACAAAACATGGTAGCGCTTTAATCCAGAGTGTAGGGCGCACGGCAATACGCAACCGCAAAAACAGAAAAAAAAGGATGCCACGGCACCCGGGAAAGGGTCGTAGAGAGAAAAACGGCGAGCCACCGCTACAGATGCGCAGCACAAGCACGCCGCCGAGGCAATCGACGTTGGGCACGCCGTCTCACACATTACGCGCGTTGCGACCATCGTTGAGGTGCAACAGCGAGAACAATTTCTGAAAGGGGTACGACAGCATGATGGGACCGATGATCGGCATCGACTCCAACACGCGCGCTATCATGGGGAAGAAGTTTCCAAACAAGTTCAACGCGCCGAAGCCCTCGATGCACAGCCCGATGAAACACCAACGAAACAGCACAAAGAGCATGCCCACGAAGAAGCAGCCAGATGCACGCTGCCGCGAGCTGAAGAAGGTTTTGCACCTTGCTGGGCCCATCACCATGGCTACACCCGATACAAAAAACACATTACCCATCGTGAGAAGAATGCTGTCGAGGAGCATCACAACGCCCATGAGGCTGAAGAAGACGCCAAGACCCGTCAAGGCGACCCCAATCTTGGTCATGTCACTCCAGTTGTACAACGAGTCCATCGCGCTGGCAACGGTGAGGCTACCGTGGAGCAAAGAGGAATACAACTGAGCCAGACACTCACGCTACCACAGAGAGAAAACCTCTCAGCGTCGCAACGAAGCTCGCTGTATAAACTAACGAACCGAGTGTGTGCGCCGTGTGGTGTGCCAGAGAGACCCCGCGACTCAAAACAGACGAAAGACAGCTGGTCAAAACCGATGTGCACCCGCTCCGCGACGCAGCAACGCCAAAGGCACTGTCAAGAAGCGCAAACGGCAGCACACGACAGTGACGGTTTCTTTTGTGATAATTACAATTGTCCTAGGGGAGTACCCCCACACGCCGATGTGCACGTGGAAACGCCCGACGTGAAGCCCCTGTCGTCGGGAAAAAAAGGCACGTAGGTAAGCTGACTCGCGAGCACAGAGAGAACAGGGTCAGCAAACGCTTCTTGTGCCTGGGTTGCTTACGTAGTAAGCAAATTTGTCGGTTTTATCAGGGAAGAAATGAAGAAGTGGCAGATCATAAAACGCTGCCGGTCTCAACGGAGAGGAAGAGATGAAAAGCAAACGTCAGTCGGAAGTGCAGGACTACGAAACACCCTCCTCCTCGCGTGAACGTGCGCCAACGGCACACGTTTGAAGCGGTGAGGTCCAATGCCTCTTTCGCACAAAAGAAACGTGCGGTACCAACATCATTTTCGCTGGTTTCTACCCATGGAAAAAATGTTGTTCGACGCCATTATTTCTTCATTTGCCTTTTGGACTGCCGCTGCCATTCACCGCAGCATTCAGTTGTGTTCCGTGCTGTGAGTTCACGCTTTCCAGAATCTCTTTTTGTTTTTAAGATCAGTTTAGAGACGAATCCGCGTCTTCTTACAGAGACATACCTCGTGAACGCGTAACAAGCTTGAAAGCCCAACGAGTGAAGACAAAAACAAAAACAGTAGAGGATTGTTATTCGTTTAAGAATTAGAAAAAAAAACCGATCAACTTAACGACACGCAGACGCGCATCTCCTCCAACTTCGTAGGCAGCCACAGCCACGTAAAACACACATCAGCCCTCTCCCGCAGCGCGACAATGCACATCCTCTTTGCAGTGCAACGAAACACTGTACACAAGTAAGGTGGCAAGTCAGGTGCGCTTCCTCACTCCACACGGCGTGGTTGACGCCCTCGCTTACCTGCTGCCCGCGCGTCCCCGCCCTTGCGCTTCTCCACCACCGACTCTAGCGTCACGCGCTCACCCGACGCGTCCTTGTGCTTCGCGGCGAGGTCATCGATGCGCTGCTGTCGCAGGGTGCGGTAGTACGAGGCGAGGGTGCTGCCCTGCTGCTTCATGTCGTCCTCAAACTGCTTCACCGCTGCTAAGTCGCAAGGCCCAAAGTTCGCCTGATCTCGCTTCGCCTTTATCTTCTGCGAGGTAGTCTGAATGTGACGGAGGAGGTTACTGATGCTGGAGTGCACCTTCGGTACGCGCACCTGCGTCTTGAGCTTGCGCAGCGTGCTCTCCACCGCCCAGAACGATTCCGGGAAGCCGACGGTGTTGCTGTGCGTGGCCAAATGCTCTGTCAGCAGGTAGAGAGACTCATCCCAGATGTCGCGGTGGTAAACGCTGCTGCGCGCCTGCGATTTCTTCACGCGAATGGTAAAGAGGAGGTCGACGCGGTCGGTGCTCGACGGCCCGCCGTTGGGCGCGTGCGAGAGCGCAACGCTGGGGGAGGTCAAGATGCGCAGCAGGTACGGCGCCACGGGGATGTAAAGGCCGTCAGCGCGGCTGGCGATGTGATTTAGAATCTCAATCACCTGCAGATGCATCGGGAACATGCGCGGCGACGCAAACAAGTCCATCAGACACGTCGCAATTTGAACTACAGGGTGGATGAGGGGACCCAGCTGGTTCGGCTCGGCGTAGGTCGACACGACGGCCCCCCACGTGCGCAGGGCGTTGAGGTACTGCCAGTTCACCACCGCCCGCACGTTGCTCTGCGTCTGCTGCTGCAGCGCCGCGCGGAGGTAGATGGCGAGTTGGCGCAGGTACACAAAGGTGTGTTGGTAGGCCGCCTCCATGTCGGTGCCGTAGAGGTCTACGACGCAGTTCATAAGAAAGGCGACGGTGGATTGGTTGTGGACGTTGTACTGATGCGCCGTGCGGATGAGGGTGAGGAAGATGCCCTTGAAGGCAGTGGACTGATACATGGAGCGGGTGCCAGTGGCGCGGGTGGCGACGGAGCGCACAACCATGTACGCCGCCACACGCACGGACTCCTCCGGTGCCGCACACAGGTTGAGTGCGGCCTTGAGCACGGCCTTCGTGACGCCGCGCACGTAGTGCAGCAACGGCACGAACGGCACTATGGCCTGCAGCAGGCTGGCTGACAGCACCGGGTCGATGCTGCCCTCCCCAATCACGGATGACAGCGCCATGAGCAGCCGCTTCACAATCATGCGGGTCTTGTGTGACTTGAAGGCGCCTTTGCCGGTGATGAGCGCGCTGAGCTGGCTGCCGACGTGCTGGGCAATCGTCACCAGCGACTGCTTGACGAGCGACGGCTCCTCAAACTTGCGTGTGGACTGGGGACGGGGATGTTCTTTCACCTGGTAGCCCAACTCGCGGACGGCGGACACGAAGATGTCAATGCCAGCCTCGGCGGTCGCGCTGCCGCCGCTGGTGATCTTCGCGAGTTCCTCCTGCGTGACACGGCCACGGTGACCGGCATCCTCCTCGGCCCCTTTCCCCTCTTCGTCCTCCGCACCCCCCTCGCCGCCGCTGTCGCCGTCGCGGCTCTCCTCCTCGTCCGCCTCCGTCTCCGCATCGCTGCCCTCTTGCTCGTCCACAATGTCCATATCAGCCTTGCCGAACTCCAGTAAGGTGGGGTCCTCCTCCTCCAGGTAGGAGTAGAACTCGGGGTCCGTGTCCTTCAGCCGCTCCAGCTGATCCACGTGCTCCTTCTCCTCCCGCGCCGCATTTCTCGCCTCACGCGCCTTTCTCTTCTCCAGCCGCTCCAACTTCTCCTTCTTGGACTTAGAGGTCTTGCGGCGCGTCTCGATGACGCCGGCCAGGTGCTTCTTGGCGAACTTCTTAAACGACTTCTTCTCCTTCGTCACGGCCATCCTTGCAGGGGTGTGTCTAAAGGGGTGTAAAAAAAAAAAGGCGTGAAACGAGGGAGGGGGATGTTCGTGGAGCAGTGCTCACTAGACGGGACAGACAACGGCGCTGTTGTGCGCGTCGAGTAAACTGTGTAACGCGAGCGATAATGAAAATACATAGTACAGGTGGAGGAGTAGAAGAGAAAGAAGTGGCAGAAGGGAGGGAGAGCACCGCGGTGCGCAGCAGGAAAGCGCTAAATTTAAAAAGGCATCAGCCCTTTCATTGACCATCGCCTTTCCAATTTCATTCGTTTTCATTATGACGCTCCGTTTCTGGCTGCTCAGCAACAGATAAGATTTTCTCTCTTTCCTTTCCCTTTGATCTCCCCGCTTGAATCGAGTGCATACTTTGTGTTAGTTTTGCGCGTCTAACTCATCTACATGGCCGGTAGTGTCTTTCCAAAGTATTCCAACGCATCTCCCGGCGCCAATGCTACTTAAATCACATGGCAGCCTTGGCAGCCGTTGGCTCCGGCCGTTTTGTCGCCGTTCCCCTTCTCCACCCGCTGCTTCTTCGAGAGCGCAGGCGGCGCAGCCAGCAGCGACGATGGAGACTTCGGAGGCGGCGGCTTGGTGGGTTTCTTTCGAGCACTTCGCTCTGCGGGCAACGATGGCGGTGCCACCTTCACGAACGGCTGTCGTGACCGTCTGCCTTCTGCCGCTGCAGCAGCGAGGAGCGACGTGCCGGTCTGCACGGTGGGCTCGTCCGCAACCAGCGCACTCGGAGGAGGGAAGAGCGGAGGTGGGACGTTCTTGGCGGCGCGGTGGGTTGTCGGCCCAAAATGCGGCAGCAGATCTCGGCGAACATCCGCCACTCCAGGCTTTCTGTCCTCAGCACAGCAAGAAGACGATGACGAAGACGTTGACCGACTGCTGCCACCGGTGGTACTCGACTCCTTGAAAGGGGTGACGAGGTGCGACGTGTCCGCGGCCTGCCTCCGCACCTCCTGCGCGAGCAGCGAGCCGTCCACGTTGGCTCCTGCGTTCTCGCCGCCATCTTCACCGCTTTCCTCTCTTGCCGCCCTTAGCAAGGACGCATCAAGCAACTCGGCGGCAAGGGGTAGCACGTGCTCGGGGTCGGACCGCGACGTCGATAACGGGGAAGAACGAGAAGAGGAAGAAGCCGCCGACCCGCCCGCCTGCTCCTTCACTGCCTCCTGCTGCTCACACTGCAGGTCAATGAGACGCTGTAGCACGTCTTCCTTCACGGGGCGGGAGGCGGTGGCCGGTACGCAGAGCACCGTCGCGATGGGCAGCAACGGCGACGACACGACGAAGCCGCCACAGCACGGCAGCACTTCCCCCTCACTCGCCGCCTCCCCGGTCAGGAAGGTCATGGCCGTCGGGTGGTACTCGAAAAAGGCCAGCACGTACACGACGCTGTGTGCCGCGTCCCACTCGTGGCTCTCCCACCTCGCGGGGTCGGCGCAGCCAGCCTTGTGCAGCCGCACAAACGGGGGGATGCCGGCGTCCAGCATCGACAGCCCCATCGCGAGGTCGCCGACGTCTAAAAAGGCGAGCGGGTCGGCATCGGCGGTGCGGGGCACGAGACCGGCCATCGTCGAAACGTACCCGATGACCTGAACGGACGGGGGGAAGAAGCGGTCGAAGTAGTCGTCGTAGCCCACGTTCAGCTCGGGCAGCTCGCCCAGCACACGGCTGAGGAGCCATCCCGCCACGCGACGCGTGTCACGTACACGGTCGTTGGCGCTGGAAGTAATGAGTGAAGACGGTCCGCCATGTGGCACTACCGCCGCCCCGCCGTGAGCGCCATTTGAAGGAGGAGAGATCGATGCAGCCTGCTGCTGGGCGGCGAGTGTGTGCTCGAGCTCCGCGATGCGACGCTGCTGAACCGCCTCCACCAGTTTTGAGGTACTCTCGTTTAGCCGCACCTGCTCGCGTAGACGCATCAGCTCATCCAGCAGTTCCTGGTTCGCTGCCGGCTTCAGCCCGCTCCACTCCTCCACGTGTGCCGCAGCGCCGCGGGTGCGGATGCGCTTCAGTCGCTGGGTGTAGCGCAGCGTGCTCAGCGTCTCCTGGTAGTTGCGCACGCTGGGGTGCACGCAGGCAAGAAAAGTAGTGAGCGAGGCCCCCGTCAGGTACCGCTGCAGCAGCACGGTGAGGGTGGTGTCGCGGAAGTTGACGTACGAGCGCTTCCCGTCCTCGGCGACTCGCTGGCTGCTCAGCGCCTCCAACACGGTGCTCAGCCGCGAGAGTGATTTGTTGATGCTGATGCTCTCACGGTTCAGCTGCGGGGAGAAGACCGTTTGTCGCTCGCTGCCGGCGAGGTCGACGAGGCACAGCCGCACGCTGCGACTCTTGATGGTGAACATGGCGTGGCTGCGGCTGCTCCGCGCGTTGCGCTCCGTCGCGGCGGTACGGCGGGACTGCATGCCGTAGGCAGACACCGCGTGCCACTGCTCGACGGCGGTGAGGGAGCAGGTGGTGAGATCCTCGACCACAATAATCGGGCCTTGTGGGCCTTGACGGCGACGTATCTGCCGCGCCTGTCCTTCTGCCAGCAAGTCGTTCACGCTGTCCATGTATACCTCCAACATCGCCACCTCGACCACGCCCTCCCGTCGAAGGAGCTCCTCCACACAGAGCCGCAGGATGCCTGGCTCCTCGTCGCTGCCGGCGATGGAGTACGTCTTGCCGCTGCTCGTGTGGCCATACGCCAGAAAGCACAGCGTGTCGGGGCGCTCCGGGGAGGTAGATTGCATCTTCTTCAGCACCAATTCATCGAAAATCGCCCTGTTGCTGACGTGCTCGTCGAAGATGAAATCTTCCTTGTACGAGCGGCGACTGCTGCCGGTGGTGCCGCCGGACACGTCTTCTACATGGATGTGCCGCGTCTTGGCATCCAGTGAAATGCATGATGCGTCAGGCGGGCAGTCGGGAGTGCGCACCCGCACCGCAATTTCCACTCGGCGGAGGCTCATTCGACCAAAGAAAAAAAAGGACAAAAGTAAGAACGGAAACAAGTAAAAGAGTAATGAATACGTCACACGCGTTTCCCTCTGCGTGCGTGTGTCGCCGATAAAGGTTGAAGCCCTTCCCGTTTTCCACGGCGTTCAAACTTGCATGACTATCTCTACGAGCAACTGCGACGAGCATGCCGAAAGAGAGACCGAAGACAGGCGCAACTGGGCAGGCGAAAGGCACTCCACTGCTCCTTCGCCAGACGAAAACAAAAGCACGTTTTGTTCGTTACGTGAGACGGCGCAGCTGCTGGAAGAGACCTCGTTAAATAAGGAAGAGAAAGAATACAATGAGAAGGAAGAGACTGTAAAGAGTCAAAGAAGAGGTGGGCTTCATCGCAGTGGTGATGCTCTTTTGATGAGAAATCAAAGACAACATAAGAAGCATGAACGCGCTCCGTCGAGTTGCTATGGCACGAAGCAAGGCAATCATCATCAGCGCAGAGGCGGGGAGAAATGACGGTGTTCAACTTGGTATGAAGCGGACGCTGGCAATCATGAACAATATAAACAGAGCTGATTGGGCAATTTAGTAAAAGCACTGTCCATCGCTCAGCCTACATACTACGAAAAGAAAGACCGAAGGTCGCTGACAGGGTGAAAAAGAAATAAAGAGAAATCACGCAACAGGAAGGTGTGTCCGTCTCGTTTTCCATCTCTTGGGTGTAAACGCCGTTTTGCGGGGAGTTGACCGACCGGCGGTGTCGAGAACCCCTTCCATCCCACGCCAGCCATCAGAGAAAAAAACAAAGAACGGCTGTTGTGGTGGGAGACGACACAACACACGATACTTTTCTTCTTTTTTAAGAGTGAGAGCAAGAACAAACGCGCTTAGGAAAAAAAAAAAATAGATGACACCCACCACCTTACAAGGTATAAATGTTTGTATATTTGAGGTGGACAACAACGCTAACAAAGCAAAACCGGTGGAGTGCACTTCCGCCCAGCGCGAACGCACGATGAGCCGTTTCAAGGGCGTTTAAGCGAAGATAAGAGAACGCTTGACTTCACGGCACCATGAAGCGCTTTTTCCGACACAACTCGTTTGCGAACCCCGTCGTGCATCACGGTCTTACTCAAGGTAGAGTAATGAAGCAAGAGAGGCCCAACAGCACTAAGGTCGCTAAGGTCGAACGAGAGCAACAGAGATATACATATGTACATTCACGCACACGCTGAACGAAAAGAAAGAGGGGCAGCCAGCTGTCGCAGGACCACGCGAAGGAGAAAAAAAAATGCGTAACGTCGCGTTTTTCTCACCCGCATCAAACTTCATTAAACAAATGCAGTTGAAGGGCGCGCGCACCACCACCTCCATAGCGATCACAACTGCTAACCGTACAGCAAAAGATAACGACGACACGGCAGAGAGGAGGAGAGAAAATAAAAATGGGAGTTTTCACCGAGCAAAAGGGGCAACAGAACAACTAAAGACACCGCAAATAGGAAAGGAAAAGAGCGTCCGTCAACAGCAAGTGTGTCGCCGTAAAGTCCGTGTCGCGCCCAAATCAAAGGGCGCTGAATTCGCTTTCAGCATGCATTCACGCGTTGTCGGGATACGAGGCAACGGTAACCAGAACAAAAAAAAAAACACAAGGCACGTTACCGTCGATTGAAACGATGAGGGAGGAGGTGGCGCATCGTGTCCCACGTCACGCCACGCCGCCTGGCTACTACGACGCCTGCAGCTACAACTGCCACTACGGCCACCGCAGCAGTCAACGTCGCCGCCCGCGATCTTGCGTGGCTGTTCTTGCCGCCATCACGACCTTCTTTCTTCTCTGCAGAGGCGGCGATGGCGTCGTAGAAGGTGCACTTCACCTCGTAATGCTTCGTGTCCCCTTTCGTGAAGAAGGGTCGGCAGAATTCCTTCTCTACCTCCCCGCGCTCGATTAAGCCGTTGGCCTCCGCTTCGTCAATTGTGACGTACTCTACGCGGATGGTGGACAGCTTGCCCATCGTCCTCACGGCCGGCTGGGCGTAGAGTGTGATGGCATCGTTGAGGGAGGGGTGCGGGTGACCGGCGCTATCGTGGCCTAACAGCCCGTAGGTCCTGGAGAAGAGAATGGAGGACTCCTTCACACGCAGGCGGTAGAGCACGTGAAGGGCCTCGTTGGACTTCTCGGATGTCAGCGAGACGCCGAAGGAGCAGGTGAGCTTCGTGGGGTACTGCGCAATCTCTAGCTCGCCCTCCTTGCCTCCCTTCACAGAGATCAGCGATACCCGTTCGTGCGCTTGCTTCTTATCAGTCTGCATCTCCTACTAAACAAGTATATTATAGTTCTATATGATCTACTAAACACAGCAGGTAGCCCAGCACTAACGCAAAGGAATCCGGTTATGCCAAAATCACCCTCAAAGAAGCAGGTGGAGATGGGAACACTTTACCAAATGTCCGTCGTCTCTCATCCAACTACAAAGCGGCAGCAAAACGGGGCTTCCTGTGCAAAAAAAAAGAACCGATAAAATCTACGGTGGCCAAAAAACGTCGACGGCAGTTACTATGCAGATAGGTGAAAAGGACCAGAGGGAGTTCGCAGAGAAGTACGACACCGCTGATACGACAGACTAGACAAATCAGAATGAATAATTGAAAAATTGAACGAAAACACGTCAAAAGACGTCCTTTGGTGGCATCGACGGCACAGTCTGCTCGTGGCGATAACAGCACCTTGCGGAGACGCATCGCGCACAGCTTTGCTACGTTCGAAGGATTCTTTCTTCCTTTTGTCTCTCCCTGAAGTGTCTTTCTTCGTTCTTATGTTCTACCTTGTATTCGCCAAACGCACCGCAAACGAAAGAGATCGCTATGTGCCGCGGCAGTCAACTAACGTCACGAGGCTCGCAGTCCTGCTGCGAGGGCATCCGCGTAAGAGTGACCGCACGTGCGGTGCAAAAGAAAAGAAGAAAACATCACAGCACTGAGTTTCGTTAGCGTGCGCACTTGACAATACAGAGATGTACCCAAAAAGAATGCGCGTATGTTTCCCCGTTGGCCGTCACCTCCTCGGATCGTCAGTGACAGCTGAAGACGAACGTGTAGCGTGCGGGACCGAGAGTAGAAAAGCTGAAGGGCCATCCCACACGTCACAACAGCGCCCAAGGAAACAAACGGAAGCGCAAACGCATAAACAGTTTCCTTTTCCTCTGGTACTCTTAAGAGTCACGACGGCGAAGAGCGAGAACAGAACGCACACTAATAACTTATTCTGGACGAGGCTTCCCTCTAAAAAAAAACCCTGCGAGGCGAAGTTCCGGGACTGCATCGGGGCCTCGTGCTGCCAAACAGCTCAAAAACGAAAAGGAAAGGAAAAGATGAAAAGAAAAGAGGAGAGGGGAAAAGAGAAGAGCGCTGCGTTTTCAGCACAGTAAGACGGGAGTTGAGCCGCTCCACTCTCCCCGACTTGCGTAGCCATTGCAAATCGCAGATCACTTAGGGTCGCCGATGCGCTTTAGGGCGTCCACGACCATGCCCCAGAACTTGTCGAAGTCCAGCTTCACCGCCACCTGCGTGTGGCAGTGCTCCGGGCGTGGGTTGCGGAAGTCCGCCACCGTCATGCCCGCCGTCAGCGTGCCCGTCAGCTCGATGTCCACCGGCACACGCTCCGTCGTCATCACCGTCGGGTCAATCACGTACGCCACAGCACACGGGTCGTGCACCGGTGGGAAGTCGAAGCCTTGTTCACGTTTGTACTGAGTCGAAAAGAATTGTAGCAGCTCCTCCACGAATCTCGCGGGCTTCGTGCCCACCGCCGCGATCTGCCGCACTACCTCCGGCGTCGCCAGCGCTTGGTGCGTCAGGTCCAGTCCCACCATCGTCACCGGCCAGCGTTCGTTGAACACGATGTGCGCCGCCTCCGGGTCAATCTTGATGTTGAACTCCGCCACGGCGCTCCAGTTGCCCACGTGGTAGCCGCCGCCCATCAGCACCACCTCCTGCACGCGCTCCACAATGCGCGGCTCCAGGCGGGCGGCGAGTGCGATGTTCGTCAGCCCGCCCGTCGGCACAAGCGTGATCGTCTTTGGCTCGTGGCTCATGACGAGGTCGATGATGACGCTTACGGCGTTGCGGGGGTCCGCCTGCGTGTGTGCAGGCGGGAGCTGCGGTCCGTCCATCCCCGACTCGCCATGGATCGACGGCGCATTTTCCACCTGGCGCACGATCGGCCGACTGCTCCCGGGCACCACCGGCACGCCCGTAATGCCAGCGACGTCCACCACGCCCAGCGCGTTGCGCGTCACCTTCTCCAGCGTCTGGTTGCCCACCACCGTCGTGATGGCCAGCAGCTCGATCTCCGGGTTGCCGTGCGCTAGCAGGATCGCGATGGCGTCGTCGTGGCCCGGATCGCAATCGAGAATGATCTTCCTCGGCATGGTGCGTACACAGCAAAGGGTCGAGATCAAGAAGCGGAAGTCCAAACAAACAGAGAGGTTAATGCAGTTAGAGGTGAAAGCGCTCAGGACTGCCGTGGCGGAGAGGCAGACAGGTGTGGTGAGGTGTTTTGAAAGGGAGGGGGAATGAGAAGGGAAGGAACGACGGAGTGTGTCACGTATTACTTGAGGTAGTGTATTTAAGTAACTCAGTCGATTAGATTGAAAAACAGATACGGGTGCCGGTGACAACGAAAAGCCAACAGAACGGATTAATTTTTTTCGGTGATGTATATATAGATTGATAGAGAGGTAAAGAACAGTTATTTAATTAAAGGCTAAAGTCAGTTTTGTGGCGCGTTTGTGAGGCGGTAGGTGGCGGCACAAACACAATGGACAGAAGATAACGTGTTGTGTTACTGAGCTGCGTTGGCGTTGCAAGGCAGTGCAAAAACTTGCATGGGCGAAAGTACAGTAAAGCGGTGAGAGGGCGAGAGAAGGCAGGGAGAAAGAGTGGCGCATGCTGAGCATCAACAACAATAAAGATTCCGTTGCACAAAAGCACCGGTCTCCGTCGCTGCAACTTCCTGCTCAGCCGCTTCAGGGGTTTCGTCGGCTCCGCTTAAAAAGCTGATTTGCCTTACTTCTGCTCATCTGGCAAAAAAAAAACCCAGTTCATACGTGCGTTAGGCCCCGCGAATCTTGGCATGCTCCGATGCTACCCCGCAAGTTATCAACACGACGTTCTGATTGGGAAGTTGGCTGCCTTGCATTGAAAACGCATGGGTGGGTCTGCCTCGCTTGCAACGAACAGCATACATCACCTCCGAACAGCAACAAGGCGCTCTACCGTTCACCACCAGTTGGGACCCCCAGGCGGACGTGCGGCAGATAGTCAACTCATCGAGCACGTTTCGTCATGGGGGCCAGAACGACGGGGATGCTTTCTCGCTTTCGGAAAGAGTTCGTCTTAGAATTTCGTAAGCAACGAGAAGAATGCAAGAACGTTTTCGATGCTACGCAGCAGCGTTGTTTCTCGTACTATTACACGGTGCGATAGTCACCCCACAACCTGTGTGGCCCTTGCAAATCGCAGATCACTTAGGGTCGCCGATGCGCTTTAGGGCGTCCACGACCATGCCCCAGAACTTGTCGAAGTCCAGCTTCACCGCCACCTGCGTGTGGCAGTGCTCCGGGCGTGGGTTGCGGAAGTCCGCCACCGTCATGCCCGCCGTCAGCGTGCCCGTCAGCTCGATGTCCACCGGCACGCGCTCCGTCGTCATCACCGTCGGGTCAATCACGTACGCCACAGCACACGGGTCATGAACCGCTGCCGCAGCCATGAAACGATTCTGTTGGTAAATTTTGGTGTAATAGTCCATAACCTCCAGCATAAACGCAGACGGCTTTGTGCCGACGTCCTTCACGCGTTGCAGAACTTCCGGCGTCGCCAGCGCTTGGTGCGTCAGGTCCAGTCCCACCATCGTCACCGGCCAGCGTTCGTTGAACACGATGTGCGCCGCCTCCGGGTCAATCTTGATGTTGAACTCCGCTACAGAGGTGGCATTACCGGTGTGGTAACCGCCGCCCATCAGCACCACCTCCTGCACGCGCTCCACAATGCGCGGCTCCAGGCGGGCGGCGAGTGCGATGTTCGTCAGCCCGCCCGTCGGCACAAGCGTGATCGTCTTTGGCTCGTGGCTCATGACGAGGTCGATGATGAGCTTTACGGCGTGGCGCTCATCCACTTTGTTCTTGAATTCGGGCGGGTAGATCACCGTGCCCATCCCCGACTCGCCGTGAATGTGACCCGCAGTCATTATCTTCCGCACCAATGGGCGGTCGCAACCGGCAGCGATCGGCACGCCCGTAATGCCAGCGATGTCAGCGACCAGCTGCGCGTTGCGCGTCACCTTCTCCAGCGTCTGGTTGCCCACCACCGTCGTGATGGCCAGCAGCTCGATCTCCGGGTTGCCGTGCGCTAGCAGGATCGCCACAGCATCATCCAGACCTGGGTCGCAGTCGAGAATGATCTTCCTCGGCATCGTCTTTTCAAATGTTCTTGCCTCTTTACACCGTTACGAGTCGCTAACAAATGAGTTGTGTCTTTCGAGTAGTGCTGGAAAGTATGCCAGGCAACAGGAAACAAAATGCCAGTAAATATGAGACTAGCTGTACGTCAATTCTTCAAACGTTTGTTGACAAACGCGTTCCACAAGAGAAAACATTAAATGTACGTGACGGCTCGTGAGAAGTGGAGGGAGAGTGCCAGCAAGTCAAGGGGGAAATGTGTTGGCTCCTGCAATCAAACGCCGCGCACTGAATTCGCACTTGACGTGCTCATCCGCTCATATGAAGGTGAGAGACAGAAAAAAAAAATGGTCTTCATCCTTCAGTGAAATGAAAAACAGAGACAACGTTTCGCGCTGTTCTCAGAAGTATGCGGCATATTGGAAGATATTTGTTTGTTTCCGCACTTCTGAAGTCGTGCGGCGGAAACGGAGACACCCGTGAGTGCGGTAAGCGGCGCTCTCCAGCACCAAATGAAGCTCTAAAAGTCGACTCTCATTCAGTTGCAAACGGAAACGAGTGTAAAGCTTCTTGTTATTTGCTGCTGTTGCTCGTCGACGTAGTTGAACTTGCTTTACGGAGCGCTCCTGCTTCGTCATGTGATGATGTCATCTCGCAGGCAAAGAACGGATGATCGCCACCGCGATCCCGCACTTCAGTGACTCCACGCGTGTACTCGGCTGAATTGCGTGCACGCCGGATGCAACAGAGAAAAAAGGTGAACAAAGTGGCCACGCTTTTGAAGAAAAAAAAATGCGTGCAGCCACGCCATGTGAGAAAGAAATTCAAACGTATGGGCAACGCATACAGGAAAAGAAACGCGAGCCGCACATAGCATAACAGTTACTACAAAAGCAAAGCAACAAAGAAAAAAGAAGCGGCGTCGACAGCAATGGAAGGCGCAACGACGCGCTTCAGCTCAAAAGGGCCAATACGCCGCAGTGAAAGCAAAGCTGTGGAGAAATGGGAAAAGGATGCGCCTGCCAAAACCTTCACCACGTGACCCGATGACGTTGCAAACCCCAAAACACGTTAACCAAGACGGAGCAAACCGCACTGTATTTTGGGGGGGGGGGAGGGAGTCCACATCGGCGCAAGAGGGTTTTTCTCTTTATTACGTGGAGTTCAAAAGCGTTCTTGATCTCTGGCGGAAACAAAAGGCCCAGCGGCTTCAATAGAGGACGCGTTTCCTCTCCTACTGTTGGTAGACGAACTGCATTGCCTCAATGTCATGCCGGCAAGTGGGGCACTTTCCATTCGCTAAGCACAGGGCGCATCTCCAGCAAGCACACAAATGTCGGCAAGGCAGAAATACAGTGTCTTTGCGGTTCTCTAAGCAGATGTTGCACTGCTCGGCCTCAAAAGTGGCAGCGGTGGGCTCATACCCTGGCGGTGGCGGCTTCGAGTGTGGCTTCTCTTGCCCTATCGATTTGTATGCGATGGAGGCCAACAGTCCCACCACCCCCATGGCGGCGGCGGTTTGTGCCCAGGTAAACTGAGAGCGACTCTCTGGACTGACAATGGACTCTAGCATCTCTTTTTGACTATTAATGGTGATTTCGTGTTGCTCGATGAGAGACTGCTGATCGCCTAACTTCTGGAACAGCTTCCAGACGGCCACGCCGAAAGGCACTAGTGCAATTACTTCCAGACCGCTCATTCTCAGCGGATACAACGAACGGTTTCCTTATAATCAATAATATGGAGATAAACGCACACGTTGACGAACGAAGCCAGCAAGCGAGGATGCCTTTACATAAACCTTCTCGCGTCTTGCGACGTTAAGCAGCGCTGATACCAGCGAAAAGCGAAAGAGGAAGAAAAGCGTAGTACTCCACGGCGCCACGTTCGTATTGAGCGCCACCTTTGTGTTTGTGTGCCTGCGTGTGCCGCGAGGAAGCGCACCGTGTGGTGAGAGTTTTCAGCGGTTTGGAGAGAACGGGGACTCAGAAGCGAGCGAGAATCGCCAGCACAGCCTTTTCCAACGGCGAGGGGAGAGAGAGAGAGAGGAAAGGCTTGAGAAGGGATAACGATAAAAAGGAGTGTGTGTGTTGTCCTTGCGCGAAGGTCAAAAGGGTTTTTTGAGAGCCTTTTTGTTTCGGTGCAGCGGGGGATGTTCCTTCAGCGTCGGGTTCCTGCAGATGCAATGGGTGAAAGACAATCAAATGCCGCGTAGTCGCTACGGTCTTTCTTCTACACACATTGGACCGCAGAGTGGTCGAAAGAGGTAGGCTTGTGCGCCAAGCTGCCGGAGGAAGAACCCGCAACTCTTCTGGAGCAGCATCTTCCCTTCTGATCGGACACGTTTTTAAGTGTATTTTCTCGTTAATCATTCGTGTGTAAGCGTCACTCGCAGGCGCAGCACATTTTTGTTTTTGAAAAGGACGAGGGAGACGGAACCCTTTCGCCCTCTTAAAATCATAACGCCAAGACAGAAAACAAGAACACTCAGCCGCGATCCAACGGCGATGTTGTGCTCTTTCCAACCGTCTGCGGGTCAGCACCCGCACAGCCAACGAAGCACACACGCTTGCTCGCTTGTAGAAGAAGTGGGGGGCATCGGGGAAAGGACGTGCACGCGCTCGTTTTCATTTATCAGAGATATGGATGCTTGAAAGAGTGCTCTGGGTGCGGAGTAGGTTCAAAAGAGGAGGAGAGGTGCGGCACACAGAAACAAAAGCACGAGCTGCTCCTCGCCTGTCAGCGCGTCCGCCGCCGAGGTCCGTCGTCGGCAAGTCCAAAACTTTGCCAGATGGCCAAGGTAAAAGTCGGATCGTCATCCACCCCGGCCGACACCATGTACCAGAAGTATGCAAACAGCTCGTACTCGAGCGCCTCCTCGTGCAGCTCACCCACGTACGCCTCCAGCGCCATCTTCCACTGCGCAACCTGGCGGCGCACCGGCGCCCCCTCAATGCGCTCCGGCTGGAACCGCTGCAGATACGTGCCGCCGTGGATGCGCCCTTCATTCGCTGTGTCGAGGCGTTGAAACAACTTCTGTATGACTGCAGTGCGGCTCGCCGGGACGGGAGTGCACAGCATAAGCAGCAGATCCACCCGCGTCGGTGCCTTCAGTCGCAGCCACTCCAACTCGACGTCGAGCACACCGGTAAGCCCGTCTGGCACGCCTGCGTTGCGGAAGGCGCCTACGAAGGCTTGGATGGGAACACGAGATGCCCCCCACTCTTCCAGCGATGTGTAAAGATTCACAAAGACGAGGGAGTCGCGGGCGCCGCGACGCAGCAGGCTGGCGGTGGCCGCGTGGACGAGCTGCAGAACTGACATGGTGACCGGCGGGAAGTACTGGCGAAAGGCGGCAATCAAGTCGGACACCAGCACTCCCTCGGAAGAGTGGTGCTCCTTTTTAAGGTAGTAGAAGAGCTGATCAGACTCACGCTGCTGAAAGCCGGTCTGCATTATCGTGCACAGGTAAAAGAACTGCCGTGGCGACAGCGCCGCCCGCGTCAACGAACCAAAATCTAAGTCTAAAGGTGCTTGTTGGGCAGAGGCTGGGTAGGTGAGCTCCATGGATGTCAGACTGCTGTGCAGCGCCAACGAGCCGGTGGGCTGCACCTCCGGCTCGCCGCTGTCGAGGCACGCCTCCGCAAAGCGCCCCATGAGCAGCGGGTACTCGGCCACGGCGGGAACTTCCTCGCTGAACAGCAGCTGATGCAGCAGGTGAACGTCGTACGCCGGCGCACCAGCGGCTGCGGCGTCCGCCTCCTCGCTGGGTTGGCACAGTACGTACTTGAGAAACGCCTGCGACTGCGAGCTGCTCAGACCGCACACCTCCTCAAAAAAGCAGACCGCCTCGTGCTGCGTCAGCGCCGGCGGCGGCGCCTCGATGGACTGCCGTCGCTTGTTGCTCTCCCAGTCTAACAGATCCGTCACGTGCTCCTCGAAGGGGCTCATGACGTCGCTCTTCGCCACCGTCGCCCGCACGGCGCCAACGATCTCGGACACCTGTCTCGTGTGAAAAGGAATGAGTAACCGCAGGGCGAGCAGCACATCACCGAGGCGAACGCCGCCGTCAAGTTCGCTGTCTGAAGTTCCTACCGAGGGCTCTTCCAACGGTAAGACGTGCAAAAGAAGCCCGACGTCTTGGTGCGCGAGCATCGAGGGAGGGAAGATCGGCGACACGTCTGCGACAACGCCGCGCGGGTCCACCGGTACGTCTTTCGACGCGACGCAGCGGCGGTCGACCGAGAGGAAGGTGCGCAAGAGAGAGCGCGGGCGGCCCGGCTCTGCTCGCGGCACAAGTCCGTAGGCAACGCGCTTGTAAAGTTTCAGCATAAACACCGGGTCCGTCAACGCCGCCTCCTGCCGCGCATCGACAGGAAACATCGTGAGGCGTCTGCAAAAAGGGAAAAGAGATCGAAGGGGAAAAGGGAAGAGAGGAAAATCACTCCATGTGGAAACCGAGACCAAGCAGAGCGTTTTGTTGCTGATGCTGCTGTACCCGACTCGACAGCTGTGAAGCCTGGTGACGGCACGTTCTACTCCTTTGCAAAGTAGCCGCTTCACGAGTGCGGAATGGCCATCACCCCGCGGCACGGAGAAACGGTGTGTGCCGATAAGGCCCATCAACTGCACAACAGACGAGAGAGCCTTTCCTGGCGGCTGCAGTGGTTTTCTTTAGTTTGTTTGTGTCGAAAGACATGGGGAGTCGGCATAGAGGCACTCCACCTAACTCTCAAGCACTCGGCTTCGTATGATCTGTCACCTCGCGCAAGGGCAGCAGCTGAGAAAGGTCACGCCTCCTCGTTGCCACATATAATACTAGTAATTGAAAAATTTCTATGCATCCGTTGAAAGCCAACGTGAGTAAAACACGAACCGAGAATTTAGGATCGGCGAACAAGAGGGCCAGTTCTGAAAGTGCCCAACAGCCGGCCGGTCGGCTGGCGAGGCCGGGGACGAACGCGCGACGTGTGCCGCATCTGGTCGTGGTATTCGGCTGCTGCGTGGTGGGGGTGCCTCGCGCGGACTGCTGGACTGGCGGTTGATGCTGCTGACCCTGTGGCCCACACCGCTTCTCCCGGCGAGTGTCCAAGGCATCACCGGTGTTCTTGTGCGGAGTTGTCGTGACGGGACGGCTGGTCGGCGCCAGCATCCAAACCCCTGACGCTTAACAACAGAGAAGGAGAGCACATCGCCAACACAGCGCCAACTGACGCTATCAACTACAGCGTACGCCGTCATCGCAGCGTAACATCGACGACGTGGCCGTTATGGTGGGTGGTCTAGACGTCTATGTCTGAGCTCGTTCTGCAGACATCGTGTAGCAGACCCGCGACTGCTGTGCGCAGAAGCTGTCTCCGCCGCTGTCGCCTCAGTCGCGGGGAGCTGCTGTGGTGCGGCGGGGATTGCACTCAGCCGCCACAACTGCAGGTGGAGACGAGGACGACGGACCACGTAAGTGGATCGAGGGCGACGAAAACCGTTGCCATGCAGTCGCTGCCTCGCGATTGCCCCTCGGCATTGATTTAGCAGCGCTGATTCTTGCACGCGATGCTGAACGTGGAAATACGCGCACACAATGCCGCAGCGTCATGTAGAAGGACGTGGTTGTGCACGAGGTGCGTTTCAGCATTCCCGCGACGAGGTCCCGATGCCGTGGGACTATACGTCCCCATTACAAGATCATAGCCACCGCAGCTATCTCGAGTGCTACCACCTTGCACTTTTAACAAACCTCACCTCCCTCGAGGGGGTGTCTGAAAAGCACGTCGAGACGATCTTTTCCCTGGCCGTTCAACGCCAGGATAGCCTCTTCGGGGACTATTACGCGCGCGAGTTGGCCCGTCTTCGCCAATCTCTCCCCTCCGCAACGTCAGTGTCTTCCACGCCCAACCGCCCGCCCATCCCCACCATTTACTGGTGCCCATGCCGCACATGTATCACGTACTTCTTCTCGGCTGATAACCGACGTGTACATGTGCTCAAACGCCATAGGCCATGAGTGAAGCACGAGGCCGACAGGCTCAAAAAGGAAGATGAGCAGGTCCTGCAGTTTGAAGGACAAATTCGTGAGCTCGAGCGCCAAATCGTGGCTGTACGGCAAACACTTGCGGATCATCGTCGGTCTCTTCACTCATGCGCAATCGACACTCTCTTGAGACCCGAAGCTCCTGGCTCCCACCCCTCGCCGATCGTTGACCCCCCAACGTGCAATATTCGCACACGGAGACTTGCCCTCCTGGTGGAATTCAATCGGAAAACAATACCACGAACCTTCGCAATTCTCGAGGAAATCGCGCGGGCAGAGTCCCCCAATTACCGTTCCTCCGCATCCGTACCTACCCCTGTCGCTCCAGCTCAAATGGTTCCGCCTTCGTCTGACAATGGACAGCAACCGCCGCCACCGCAGCTACCGCTCGAACCGCGGCAACAATCTGAACAATCTGGCCAGCAGCTGGCGATGCAATTACATCTCCTGCTATTCGTCGACTCCCAATCTTTACCTCTACCGGGAGACTCTAGCAATCATGAGAGGACGGCCCCCTTGACGGCTGAGAATCTGCAACAGCGGCAACGATCGCTGTTCCGGACACAAACTTGCCCCGCTACACATACCCGTGGCTCCGTATCGGTCCCCTCCGCTGGCTCTTCGCTATCAGGAGCTAAGCGGTCAAGACGCGATACCGATTACTGTTAAGCTAGCGGTGAAGGCCCACTTCTACAGGCATGCCCCCCCCCCCTGCCCCCTCACGTAGGCGTGCTATAGCATCCCGCCCTCCTCGGATGTTCAGAAAAACCCCTTAACGGGGCCAGGAGCGGAGGCGCGGTCGGCCCCGACGCCCCCAGCCCACCTCGCCGCTCCACCGCCTCCGCGACGCGACTTGTACCTCCCCGAGTAGGCACGTGGAACGTGACGGCGCTAACGGGAGAGCGCCTCGACTTCCTCTTCGGAAGTGTGAGGGAGAAGTGGGCGCCAGACGTCTGGTGCCTACAAGAGGTGAAAATTCCGGTGGAGGATGTGGTCCGCCTGAATCGCCTCTCCCAACTGGGCTCCCTGTTTCACTCTCCACGACCGTCCTCGCCAGACAACAACCACTGCAGCGGAGGCCTTGCTATTGTGGTCAACCGACAGGCCTACGACATCGTCGCCACTAAAGAGGGCTCCACGCGCCAGTACGGCCCGCTCTTTGAGTGGAACTTCGTCGAGATCGCAGACAGCCACAGCTTACGTCGGTATAGAATCGCCAACGTCTACGCAGTACCCGGGGGAACCATGAAGATCGGTGACGCGCTTGACTATCTACACACTGAGCTGAATCCCGACATCATCGTGGGTGATTTCAACGCACGCCACGTCACCTGGTCCCCACCTAGCACCGCCTCTACCGCCACGGACGCCTACGCCCGCGGAAGTGCCCTCTACTCTTGGACCGCGAAGCGTGGCTACTTCCGCTCCAATGATGGACTGGGCTTCACACCGACCACAGTCTCACGCGAAGGCCACACCGAGACGGCGCTAGATTTCTTTCTCCTAGGACACAGCATGAGCCCCACCACACACTGGGTTCAGTCAACAGCGACCCGGTCGCTCACACTCGCAGCCGGTGACCACTTCCCCGTCATTCTCAATGCTCCGTCCTCCACCCACTCCACCCCACGACGACGCCAGCGGCAAATCCGGTGGGATCAAGTTACGCCACTCATGATGAGCCGCTTGGCACACGACATCGCAGCTACAGACGACATGACCCAGCTCGAAGCAACCCTCAAACACGCCTTGGCTCGTCTGCCTCGCTCAGGATGGAACACCCGTAGGCCTGCACCGGTAGAAGTGGACGATGATGTACGTGACGCCAATGTCGCCTGGCGTCTGCTTCGTCGCACGTACACCTCGGTGTCTCCCGTCGTACCACTATACATGAGCTCGGACGCCGATGCAGCACCTATCATAGGTCCTCGAGCCAAAACTACCACGCTGAACTTGTACTTCGCCAGTAAGCACAGCGTGCGCAGCATCCCCGCGCCGCAACCCCCGCTTGCGGCGCACGAGACGACGCATTTTCCGCGCATGGACGTGCCTCCCATTCTGGCCTGGGAGGTGTCTGCAGCCATCCAACGACTGAAAAGCAACAAAGCAGCGGACAATCAGGGCTTCACAGCAGAGCTACTCAAGAAGAGCAGTGACGTCCTTGCTTCAAAGCTGCCCAAGTTCTTCACATATCCTGCGGGATCCGCGGCAGATGCCGCCTACTTGGCGTAGAGCGACCATTGTCCCGCTTCTCAAGCCGGGCAAGGACCCTAGCCTCGTAGCCAGTTTCCGCCCTGTGTGTATCACGTCCCTCTTCAGCAGGACGTTCGAGAGCATAGTGGCGCGCCGCGTAGCAGTCGTTCTCCAAGGAAAGTTGTCCAGTCGACAGTTTGGTTACACACCAGGACGTTCACCGATGGATGCAGCGTGTGCAATCCTCGGTACAGCCGCCACCATCTCCAAGATCTACCGAAACAAGAAGAAGGGCGTTCAGAGTCCGCCCTCACAAGTGCATGGGAAAACACTCGTGGGGTACCTGGATCTGTCAGACGCCTTCTGTCGCGTGCCGCACCGGATCTTGTTTGAGCGGCTAGCAGCGCTTGACGTTCCCGAGTATATCATCTGTTTCATTCGCTTTTGGCTACACGACAGGTCTGCAACGACCTATGTAGATGGTCGATACTCCGCCTCGGCAGCGCATCACGCCGGGGTACCCCAGGGATCAGTTCTAGGACCTATACTGTTCTCGGGGTTTATTGACATGATTGTGCAGTCCACACATCAGCGAATTACGCGCAAACTGGCCCAACCGACAGCAACGCGCGCCATGATCGTACCGTACGTCGATGACGTGACCATTCTGGTGGGTGGACTAGATCCAGGTCGTATACACACGCTCGCCACCGATATCATGCAGCACATCTTTGCCTGGTGTCTGCAAAACGATGTGAAGCTCTCGCAGAAATCGGTGTTTCAGTGGGTCTACCCGACTTGGAACAGCATCACCACCACCGAGTACTTCGCAGGCAGTCTCCCTCCTATTGTTGTGCGCCACGTAGCAGCGGGACCCCCTACACTTCATTTCGTCAATGGACGCTTCGAGTCCGCGTCATCGGAAAACCTGTCCCGCTTCGAGACACACAAGGCGATCACGCATCGTTTTCTGGGAATAGCGGTGGATCACAAGCTCACATTCGCCACTCACATTACCGAGAGACGGGCCGCCCTCGATCAGTTTCATGCCCGGCTACTCCCATTTACGAAACGCCTTCACCCGCGCGCCGCACGTTCTCTAGTGCTTGGCATCGCGCAGAGCGCCTTATATGGCCTCCCCCTCGTCGTCCCGTACGCCAGTCCACAGACGCTGCAGCCCGTATCGACAGCTTGGGCCGCGCTGGTCAAACGCGCTGGCCAGATTACGCAGCTCGCGGCGCACGCAGATAGTAATGATCGTGATGGGCTGTCCCACCATGGGGATGCAAGTGCGCAAGCAGGCGGTATCTTGGAACCATCGCCGCCACTGTCACCCCATCGTGAAGGAACCCATTTACACGTGTATTCTGCCGGACGGGCTAGATGACAGTACGTGCCCCGCTGAGGCACTTCTGGTAGACCCTGCTTTCGCCTTTGGTCATCCGGCCTTGGCGATCCTCCCTTTGCCCTTTCTATACCCGGAGTCACCTCCACCGCCTGTGCTCGATGCAGTTCACTTTCTGCCGTCAGCATCCGAGTTGTCACAGAGACCGAAGAACTTGACCGATGACGCGAAACTACGACTGAACACCAAGCAGCGTCTCGCCGTCTACGCACGTCTCCCTGAGCATCTCATCTACGAAGGCTGGTCGGATGGTGGCGTTACCTACTCCAAGGAGGAGCAAATACCCTCGGCAGGAGGAGCAGCCGTTCTATTCGAACCGGGTCCTGACCACACCCGTGTTCGGTTCAGCCACAGCAGTCCCGCCCCGCCATTAGCCTGCAGCTACACAGCAGAGATCTACGCTGCCCTTATGCTACTCGATGACCTAGTAATCGTGCTCTGCGGCGGCGGCCGTCCTAGAACGCAACCAGTTTAAATCCAATATACTCCAAACCTACACCGAAGACTGTGGTCCCTTTGCTTGCAGATATAGAACGGAGGCTATCGCTCTGCTAAGGGGCCTCAAGAGTTTAATCATGCCCATTGCGGAAACCGTACCCAGAGAAAAGCGGTCCCTTCTACAAATCACCGATAGTCAGTCTCTACTGGCAGCTCTAGGTACCGGTCCATTGCTCCAGCGCTCGAGGGTTGAGAGTGAAGTTTGGTCTTGTCTGTTGTCCCTGGCGGCAAAAGGTTGGCAAATGCACCTACAGTTTGTGTACGCACATGTGGGGGTGCCTCCTAACGAGGCTGCCAACACAGTTGCGGTGGAAGCGGCTACTACGGGTGCAGACACCTCGTCGAGGGTAAATCCAGTCTGGATCATTGACCTTCGCTCCTCCCTGACACGCTCGCTGGTACGCAAATGGAAGACGCAGCTGAGGCAGGACACGCATCGCTTCCACTTGTGTGGCGATCGTTTCTCTGACCTTTCTTCGCAAGACTTGTTAACGGGGGAACCCTTGACTTGTTTTGAAGAGGTAAAGTTGTCGAGGATGCGTTGCGGCGAACACCCCAACTTTGGTCGACTTTTCTGGGCACGTCGGAACTGTGACACTCGGCGCAGATGGTGCAATGTGTCGCAGGACCCGGAGCACGCGTAACGGGGAAACATTGACAGCGAGGATGCGCCTAACCCCGCTCCTCGTAGGGTGAAAAGGATGCAGGAACAATGTCCTCAATGCGATTCATTTTTTGCGCTCCTTTCAAGTGCTGCAACTTCATTGTGTAGCACTTCACGGTGACAGGCCAGCTGCAGCAGATGGCGTTTGCGCGTGCCCCTTCTGCGCGCGCTCCTTCACATCGAGGAAAAGCAGGGGAATCCGTGTGACGTGGTGTTCGCTCCACCCCTGGGCCTGCTCGACGAGGTGATCTCACCCTCTTCGACGTTCTCTCCTCCCACTTCCGGCGGCGAGATTGACCACCGAGCCTGTCACAGGGCCAAGTGAGTCGATCAGCCACATGCTAGTGTGTCCTGCCCTTGCAGAGAGTCGCGAGCATCGCGCGGTTACGGCGGAGATGCTCAGTGATAAAACCTTTTGGTGTTTTCTGCACTCCAATTATTTGCTCCGCTTTGTAGAAGCAGCGCGGTTGACCGAACCAAGCACTTTAAACGCGAGAAGACTATTACTAATAACCACAGTGCGCGAGTCCGGAGACACTGTAGAGTTCGGAAACCGTGCGGGGTGGCGTTGTGCAGATGTCACGGACCACATTGCGAAGCGTCGCCATTGCATCCTACATGTACACCTTCGTCCCGAAGTTACCTATTGACTTCCGCACTCTTTGCCGCTATCATGTCTCGCATCAAACCGGACATTCTATGTGGCGACCTCAACGCTCGCGATGTGTCTTGGGGTCCGGGTCAATATGCGCAGGACACTGGCGGCTGTACACGTGGAGACGACGCCTCGCCCGTTGGAGTGGCCACTGCGGCCTTCCGCAGTCCGTGTCCGTGACCGGCGTGGCTCCAACGACGACAGCGTTGAAGAGTGCAGTGGGATTCTTTCATCCTGTCGCGACGAGCGCGCGTTGGGCCGGACACCGTGTGGGGACTTCGTCCGACTCCCCACAGGCGACTAGCCGATACAGGGGAGCACTGAGCGACCACCACCCCTGCTCTTGTAGACATACCGACACGCACGCACCCTACCGTCGCCCGCCGTGCACGCCGGGTAAAGCGGGATCTGCTTCTCCCAGAGCTTCTAGAGCGGGGTACGCGGCTGGTGGAGCGCACGCCGCCGTACAGCGCACTCGCGGTACCAGGCAATGCGGCACGTGGTCCGGACACTGCCGCGCACATGGGAGGGCGATTCCCTTTGCACGAACAGCGCAGAGGGGAAGGAGAGAGCGAGAAGAGGAGAGAGGAGTGATGATGAGCAAGGGGGGTGGTGGAGGGGGTGCGCATGGGAGCGCCACAACGGCACAGTCGCGATGGCAGCGCAAACCCCGCGTTGTGCACGGAAGCCGCTGAGCGGCGCACACGCAAGATGCACGCAGTTACACCCTCGTGCACGTGCACGTGCACACACGTACGGAGAGGGAGGGAGAGAGAAGGCGACACCGCTCCACACACAACATCTTCACACGCCCACGCAGCGCCGACGTGGCGTTCGCCCTCGGTCGGCACCTCTTCGGGGACGGCACCTCACACCCAGCGCGTCGCTCCCTCGCTTCCCGGCCTCGTTGGTTGCTTGACTTCATTTAAAACGGCACGTGCAGGCGCGAACGCGTACACGTGCGGGTACATACAGCTTTGTTTGCCCTTCTTCCAGTTGGCACACACGTACACAGAGAGAGAACGAAAAGGAACGACACGGACGTGCGTGGGTGCGGCTCATGGAGGGGGAACCCAGCCACGGCGAGCGGCTGCACTGGTCAGGCAACGAGCATGAAAGGCAGGTGCAGCCACGCGCGCACGTGGAGGACGCCCCAGAAAACACCAAAAAAAACCCGCGTTGACGGAGGGAAAAAAAAGGGCGAAAGAAGAAGGCGAGGAATGCGCACACACCGCTGCGTCGTCTTCCCCCATGAGAGCCGCACACCGCAGCGAGTGCAGAGAGCACAGAGAGAGAAACAGCGAGGGGCAAAGGGGCAGACGAAGCCCCACGTGAAATAGAAGGCGGCCCACCCGCGCGTTTCCGTCTCTCTCTCACACACACGCACCGCGGCAACTGTCGGAAGAGACGAAGAAGAGAAAAAAGAATCGCTGAACACACAGACACGCACGCACGAGGTGTCTGGGGCTCAGAGACACCTTAGTACTCCTCCACATCCTCCTCACCCATGTCGTCGGCAGACTCCGCACCAACCTCCTCGTAGTCCTTCTCCAGCGCAGCAAGATCCTCGCGCGCCTCGGAGAACTCGCCCTCCTCCATACCCTCACCGACGTACCAGTGCACGAAAGCACGCTTACTGTACATCAGATCGAACTTGTGGTCGATGCGGGCGAACACCTCCGCGATGGCGGTGGAGTTGGCAATCATGCACACGGCGCGCTGCACCTTGGCGAGGTCACCGCCGGGCACAACGGTCGGCGGCTGGTAGTTAATGCCGCACTTGAAGCCGGTGGGGCACCAGTCTACAAATTGGATAGTGCGCTTAGTTTTGATGGTGGCGATCGCAGCGTTCACATCCTTCGGCACCACATCACCGCGGTACATCAGGCAGCACGACATGTACTTGCCGTGACGAGGATCGCACTTCGTCAGCATGCCGGCCGGCTCAAACACGGAGTTCGTGATGTCGGCAACGGACAGCTGCTCGTGGTACGCCTTCTCGGCGGACACGACCGGCGCGTAGCTCGTCAGCACGAAGTGGATGCGCGGGTACGGCACCAGGTTGGTCTGGAACTCCGTCAGATCCACGTTCAGCGCACCGTCGAAGCGCAGGGAGGCAGTCAGCGAGGACACCACCTGGCCGATCAGACGGTTCACGTTCGTGTACGACGGGCGCTCGATGTCCAGGCTGCGGCGGGTGAGGTCGTAAATCGCCTCGTTGTCCAGCATCGTCGCAACATCGGTGTGCTCGAGCAGCGAGTGCGTCGAGAGCACGCAGTTGTACGGCTCGACCACCGCCGTGGACACCTGCGGGCTCGGGTACACGGTGTAGCCAAGCTTGGACTTCTTGCCGTAGTCCACGGAGAGGCGCTCAAGGAGCAGCGCACCAAGACCAGAGCCCGTGCCGCCACCGACGGCGTGGAACACCATGAAGCCCTGGAGACCCGTGCAGTTGTCCGCAAGCTTGCGAATGCGGTCCAGCGCAAGGTCCACGATCTCCTTGCCAATCGTGTAGTGGCCACGAGCGTAGTTGTTCGCGGCGTCCTCCTTGCCGGAGACGAGCTGCTCGGGGTTGAACAGCTGGCGGTAGGTGCCGGTGCGCACCTCATCGACAACCGTCGGCTCCAAGTCAAGGTACAGAGCGCGCGGCACGTGCTTGCCGGCACCAGTCTCGGAGAAGAACGTGTTGAAGGCGTCGTCCTCCACACCGATGCTCTTGTCGGACGGCATGGAGCCATCAGGCTGAATGCCGTGCTCAAGGCAGAACAGCTCCCAGCACGCGTTACCAACCTGGCAACCGGCCTGGCCAATGTGAATGCAGATAGCCTCACGCATCTTGGAAAGGGTAGAAAAAGAGAAAGAGAGAGAGTGTGTTATAAGTTTGAAGAAGGCGTAAAGCTGTGGGGGGTGGGTGTCGGCGGCGGCGGAGACGGAGGGTTTGTTTTCCAGTGGGGGTGTGTGTGAAACGGCGTTCACCGGAAAGTGCAAACGCGTTAGGGCACGTTCGTTTTGTGTGGTGCGGGTTTGTGCACGAGTGAGGCGGGCATCGGGGGGAGAGGAGAAAGTGTGGGAGAGGGAGGCACAGAGGAGGCGCGCCCGCACGAAGCGTGTGCGCTGTGTGACCTCGGCATGGTATCCGCAATTCGTGAGAATCGGCACAGTTCGTGTTCATCGGCGAGTGTGTTTGCATGTGTGGGGTTGCGGTGGAGCGCTCTTCACTCTCTTGGTGCGCTGCGTGCAAGCACGGCGCACATCCAAACATAAAACAAATAAATAAAGCAGACGCGGGCAGCGAGAGCAGCGAAGGAGCACGTTTATTATGTTGCTTTCTAGTGCTGTTTCGCTGCGTGCTCCGCGCATCCCGCGGCACGGTTTCCGTCCGCGATTATTGGGTCGTCTCCCTCTCCCAATGTGCTGATCCCATTGAAGAGGTTCAGCCTATTTGGAGTACGTATCTCTCAGCTCCTATGCCGGACGCACCACAGTGCTACCAACAGCCTTCTGTAGAGTAGGAATAGACGAGGTACGCGTTGCGTGTGCGTGGCCGCTCGATGCTCCCTTGCACACACACACGCTGACCCTCCGTAGGGTTCTAGGTGCATGCAATCATCATTTCTTTCACACCGCTTGACGGAACTAGAAGCGATTCAGCTTGGGTACTTCCTCGGGAGCTGGATTTCTGTACTGGTGCCGTCGCCTCATGCATTGCGGTGGTGCATGCGTAAACCACTCCTTTGGTTCGAGTCCGTGCTGGACGGGTTGTGGTATCGATTGACAGGGTGCGCTGCGATTGCGGTAGTGCGTGCCACACCACCTGGCCTCCTTCTTTCGCACTACGCGTCAGTCCGCCTTCTGCCCTCCCCACGTTTTAGTTCTCTCTTTCGCGTGAGCCACTATTACCGCCTTTTGTGTACTCCATCCACTAACCCTCCCAGCTCCATCGGCAATGCCTCATTCGCCTCGTGCTGGCCGCCGGAACCGTGCTCCTGAACAGCAGCAGCAGCAAGTTGGGACGCAACGCCCTTCTAAGCGCTCCACTGCTTCAGCCCGCCCACCGTCTGGCCACCGCGACGCGACAGCGCGCACTGCCAGCCGCGTGCCCCGTAACGCACGACGCACCACTGACGCCCGTAACAAATCTCGTCCCGCCTCACAGCGCCAGCGGAACTCTGCCCCAGACCGCCCCGTGGTGGGGTTGGTAGGGGGTGTACAGTTTCGATGCCCCCACATGCCTTTGTTCCAGAGTACCTTACATTGGGACTACACATGTCGGTACAGCCGTAGCAGTCTCGTTGACTTTGTGTTTAGCGTCACCTTCGCCCTATCTACGATACGC